AATCTGCTGTAGATATAACAGATATGTACAATAGCCTTATTCGCCAGTTAAATCAATAGTTAGAACAGTAATATAATTAAGAAAAAACGATGAGTGGCAGTAAAAAAAGAATTCTGTTCTATACGCAGAAATGAATACGACCAATCGTTTCTCTAGCGATTGATTATTATTGGAAAACAATTAGTCTACAAGAATGCTTTCACTTTGCGTATTTTGTATTAGGATAATGATCGTAAAGAATACATGTGAGCTCCACATTTTTTGCCCTTAAATGGTTCCGCTGACAAGTTTGTTTCCTAATTATTAAATATAATTTACCCGCCAAAAATTGCGCCAGTTAAATTATTTCTAAATGTCGCATCAAGTTGCCAATCCGTACCAATTTCATTCCATATACCTAATTTAACTAGCATTCGACTAATAGTTCTATATGTACTATAAAAAAAAAAATAAGACACAAAATTCTATAAAATTTCTTTTATTATTTAATTTACTTTTGATGAGATGGATTAATCCATGACGAAACAACACCTTGGCTAATTGGTTGTGGTTGTCCAGTTGTTTCTGCATTCGGTAGACAAATAAATCTCATAATAATTGTTCTTGCAAGTACTGGTAAATCACTACGAATATTATAAATAAAGAGTATAAAATCAAAACTCAAATATTTGATTAATACAAACCGAAATATTGCTAAACAACTTGCCGGATGTCCATAAATATTCTGTATTACATTAGCCGGTAGACTGGCAATATATTCTTGTAAATTAGCAAATTGACTAGTCATTATTTAATCTACAAAAGCTATTTTATTCATCAGAATACTTAAACCACTTATTAAATTTATTCATCTATTATCATGAATAATGAGAAATTGATCTCTCGATGTTGTTTTCTTTTTTAATCATCATTTAACATTTAGTAAGAAAAAAAACAAACAACAACAAAAAATACAAAGATTAACTAATGTGTTCAGGTGACCAAATTTTTAATGTTCGATCATAAGAAACAGTGGCAATCCATCGTCCATCAAGTGATATATCTGCTGACATAATTTTTTGTTCATGTCCCGTCGAAGAATAAAGTGCTGACCATACTGGATGCATCCATAATTTAATTGTATTGTCATACGAAACAGTTACTAAATACTGTCCTTCAGTACCTATTAAACAAAAAGAAACCAATAGCAGATATTTAATTAATTTCTAGATGAATCGTTTGTTTTAATCAAAACTTACGTTGAAATTTAACAGCCGAAACTAAATTTTGATGTGCTGCAATACTATAAGCATTTTTAATTTGACGTAAATCCCAAATTTTACATAAATTATCTTCCGAACCTGTTGCAATATGATATCTAATCGATAAAGAAAAAAAAAATTCTATAGAGAAACAAAAAGATATTTTCATTTAACAAACCCATTTGGTGAAAAATCAATGGATAATATTGGTTTAAGATGACCTTCTAAAAACATAATACAACGACCAGTTCGAAGATCCCATACACGACCATATGCATCCATTCCACTAAATAAAATTAATATTCTAAATTAAGTATCTTTAATTATGTGTTTTTCTTTTACATACGCAGTAGCTGATAAACTACCATCACATTGAAATGTAATATCATGAACTGCTTTCGAATGACCTTCTTGATGTAAAATTTCTTCATGATTTTCAAGATCCCATAAACGCCATGAATTATCATAACTAAATAAACAAATATTATTAGTCAATTGAATTATTAAAATCTTATTTACCATGCAGTTGCTAAAAATCTGCCCGATGGATGAAATTTTACTTTTGATACACGAAACGGTGCATGACCTATATGAAAATAGATTTCTTTTTTTCTTTTTTGTCAATAAATTTCGAATTACCTTCAATTTCAGCAATAGGTTCATCACTTTCAAGATTCCATAATTTAACACTTCCATCAAATGCACTAGATGCTAAATTAATCATAGCTGGATCTTGTGTTAATGTTGATTGAGGATGCCAACTAATACAACAAGCATTTACTATATGACCACGTAATGTCCGCACATGTTTACAATCTGGTATTGTCCAAAGTTTACATAAACCACTCCTATAATAAAATGCTTTATTTAAAAAATGAAAATAAGCCTACATATATAACGGATGATTCATAAGAAATGGGATATTTCGATTTTTCTGTTTCTTTTTTTGAAGAAAGTAACATGGTTTAAAGACACCATTCTAAGTTCATTTGATAGTTGCTCTACAAACCTGTCGACTTTGTTCTTTAAAATAAGTTTGTCCAGTTGCAGAAAAATCGAAAAGATTCACAGCCACTCAGTCATTGAACTTTAACTGTCAGAAAAGAAGACAATTATTTTTTTAAATGTTTAAGTGACAGTTCCGTTGAAATTCAAAATATGCTGTATGTCCCAGTGTTTTGCAATTTTATAAAAAAATAATTGTAAGAACAATTTTTCAAGCAAAAATTAGAAAGCGACACTTAAGACTCTTTCTAACAGCTCTATACCATTGAAAACAATCTAAAGATTTTCGTTGTTCAATTTAGGTTTTACATAATTTTGTTTCAGAATAATTTCTGTACATCATTAAGAGTCTTGAGAAAATCTTGGGAGTAAAAAACATAAATTTCTCTATCTATTGATGCTGCATACTTTACATTTAGCATCGAATTTGATGAATACAAGCTTACACAATTATTTTAGATATCTGCAGAAGATCGCAGTGAAGCAATCATCAATCTTTCTAATGCTTTATTGACAAAAACAGCTTATTAAAACAATAAACTCCACATTTTTGCAGAGCGAAAAATTCTCTACTGAATGAGCTTAGAACGGTGCCTTTGAATAATGTTTCTGTTCTTCAAAAACGGAAAATCAAACTGATTCACTATTTATGAGCTACTCGTTAGCAGTGGTTACAAACATAAGACCAATGTAATTTTCTTTTTCATTTCTACAATATCAATTATTTAGTTCAAGCCCAACGAGTGATTTGAATGCCCAATGAAGTTTTTGATCAAATGGCTTCCATACGAGAATTTTATAGATGGGCATTGAGAGAAAAGTTTTTTAAAAACTAAACACGATAGTTTTCAGGGCCCAGAAGACTGTGCGAAATTATTGTTTAAGAGTATCAACTTAAAGGATGCAAAATCCTGAATAAAATTAGGGGTCTTGGTAGTTTTTATGACTTTTCCTTAAAAATTTATAAGCATCACAACAAACTAAAAGAATTTCGTTTTTAGTTGATTTTTAGTAATACTCTAATTAGGAATGCAACGGTAACGGTAATCAATGGCGCATCGGTCTAGACATGCATATGTAGAACATCTCTACCTATGATAAATTTCGCATTTTTTTCTTCATTTTTGTTATACTTATTACGTTTTTAGGGAAATCGTAGAGAATTCGATGCTACTCTTAAAAACTAATTTACACACACTCTTTCGGAACCTGAAAACTATTATGTTTAGTTTTCTAAACACCTTTGCGTCATAATCCATACATGAAATTTCTGTATACAATGCATTTGATAGAAAACATCATGGACTATTCAAACTATTATTTGAATTTAAGTTAAATACTTGATTTCATTGAGAGAAAAACCAAAATATGTTTGCCATATATTTTTGGCTAGTACTCTATATATAATAAATTATTATTACCAAGAAGAAACGGCGACCATTTTATCATCTGGACTAAATTCACAATAGGACAAAGGGCGATTATCACCAACTTGACTGCAATGTAATGTTGTAGCCTAGAAAAAAAAACTATTAATAAAAATAAATAGACAACTATATAATTTACACGTAGTCGACGATATAAATCTTGAACTTTAGCTGTTCGATATACTTCAGGTACAGCAACATATTCTTTTAATCTTTGAATACGTTCTTTTGCTCTAAAAAAAAAAGATCAAAGAAGAAAACATTTCTTATAGTAAATATGATTTTTATTCTATTGTCAGGAGCATTAATACATCGTCCGTCTTACCTTGGCAATGAATATTGCGCAATCCAATATCGTGCTATCTGTAATTCATCTGGTCCTTGATGATACCAAGTAACTTCCTTAATAAAAAAAATCATCAAAATAATTATGAAGAATATAAAATTATTTGTTACTCACTTCTTTTTTGTCTTCAATTCTTTTATCATCTTCTTCTTTTTTACGTAATTTTTGAGCAATTTCATCATCGGATAAACGTGAAATTAGATTACGAAGACGTTCACGACGTTCTGCTGGACCTTCACCAAATAAACCTAAAGAAAAGAAAGAATATTATGTAATTAAAGAAACCAGAAATTATTTCTTACAAATAGGTTCTCCTAATTGACGTAAATTAGCTTTTACTTCAACATCATCAGTTGAAACATGAATTTGTCGAGCCTAAGAAATAATAATTCAATGAATTTTTTTTTGTACAAAAAATGTATTTTCTTCTTTCTTACTCGTCGACGTCGTTCAAATTCAGCAAGAAGTGCTTGTTGATCTTCAGCAAGCGGTTGATCTTCTAATCTGATTGTTTCAGCTAAATGATAAAAACAATAATAATAAAGTTTTGTTCTAGTAATATGAAGACATACTTTCCCGACGTGTAGGAATATTTGCATTAGTATTGGCTTGTTGTTGTTGTTCAAAAGCTTGTCTTGCTGTTGCTACTTGATGTAAAAGTTCACTATGTACACGTTCAGCATTATCAATAGTAGTTGTACGTCTATTAGGCATCGAAACAGTATCATCTTGAATCATCTGAAATGTTAAAAACAATATATATATATATGTATATTGTTTTTTTTAATAACTTTTCTTTTGTATTAAGTTTTCAGTTACATAGAACACGACTAATACTACAATCGCTGAGGTTTTTTATTATTATTATCTAAATTTACAATTAAAAGCTGGTTTCTTTTTTTTTGTTTTTTCAATCTAAAATAAATGTATATCATAATTTCTTATTTATCTAATAACAAAAAAAAAGGTTTCTTTTTTTTTCTAACAAGCATTTTTTATTCGACTGAAACATTCCATAAGTTGTACATGTACATGATTATGAAGTTTTACTGGTAATAAACCAAGATAACGAAAAAGAACGTCAGCTTGTCGTTTTAATTCATCTAATAGACCTTGTTTATTTGTACTAAGTATATTTGATGTCTGTTGATCAAATGAACTAGTTGCAGCAAGTAATAAATGTTGATTTGATGTACCTAATGCTGATTTATATTCTACACTTGCTAATATTGCCATTAATGTTAATGTTAGAAGTATTATATCTGGATAACAATCCATTATTTCTGATGAATAATAATTAATTGATTCAAGACATTGATCTATTTGTGTATGTGCAAATGGTAATAATGATAATTTTTGTATAATTTCATATGCACGTTCAAATTGTTGTGATTTAAAAAATTCTATGTAAGTATAAATATCAAGTAGAGTATATAAAGTACTTGTTAAACGATCAAATTCATTCTGTGTCGATGAAAGACGAGAAGCAAATGTACGTGCACTAGCTAAAACATTAGGTGCACCAGCTGTATTTGAAGATATTAATGTACGAATAGCTTCTGATAAAAGACGATTGTATATTGAACATGCTTGTCGTGGTTTCTAAAGAAAAACATATGAAGTATAACATAAATTCTACTTGTTTATGTTCTTTGTAATTAGTTTAATAAGTTTTTTTTTTCAATACATTTATTTTATTTACAATGGACAACTCAATCGAGAATAACAATATTAACTCATCTTATAGTTAAATTGCATTCATCAATATTATTATAAAATATTTTGAATTGCAAATAAGTTGAAATCGACGTGCACTCGATATAGATAAAACAAAGTTGAATTAATGTTTATTTCAAACGCAAACTAATGGAAGATAAGAATATTGTTTTTTTTCTATCGTTTCTGGGATATATTATTTCATCATTTTTCTTTTTACTTAATCCTTCAGAAATATACGGTCTGTGATCGTATATTAATAACGTCTGAAGCGATCTATGTGCGAGGCAAAGTTTTCCTTCTATACTTTAACACTCGTTTAAGATCGTTTTTCACAAATGAAGAAAGTGTAATATACACGTTACAAACAGTTCTTTTCTCTGATGAGAATTATATTGAGAAAGCTTTAGAAAGAACAATAGTTAAAGATATTTTGGTGATATAGTCTGAAAAGCAACATTTGATGTTGCTCGAAATCGAAAGACTTTTCCTAAATGAACCAATGGAAAAGATTGAGTCTAGTAACGAGATGCATAACATATTCATATTTATATCTGTAAAATTCAATGAAACTTATTGATTTACATCCATCTATCTCCTTCAAGTATTCTATAGCAAAAAAGGATGAAGGGTGACCCCATTCTCCATCTTGAAAAATGTTCGTTTTTTTTCCAGCGAAGTTCTATCATTTTATTGGTTTTTTTTGTGCTCGTCAATTCTCGAGAAAAAAAACTCTTGACCTTTTTTCGCTCAAAAGCAGGTCAACTTTATCAGAAATCTTCCAAACGGCCTTCTAACTACTATAGCTGATTAAATCTTAAACATCTCGATTTCAATTCACAGATCATTGAAATAATTATATTCGTCTTACAAATAGATATGAGTAGGACTGATCGTTTTTGGCCCCGCCCTGATTCGGTCCATCTTATCCATATCTATCTACAAGTCATAAGACAAACCTTTTGTTCTTCAATTTATGTTCCTTCTTATAGATATCTGCTAATGTACATTGTAAGAAAAAGAAATACTTCTAAAGTTTGAATATCTATTTTCTAATAACTATCGAATTTTACCTTAGCACGATCGTAAAGGACAGCTGCTAATTCTAAATGACCACGTTTTTCAAGATAAAGTCCAGCATTAGCAGTTACAACATTTGTATCAATATCAAGATGATCAAGAATACGAGCCTAAGGATAAATATTTATAAAATGAAATTAATATTTAAAAAGAAAATATAAAATTTTTTACTTCAGTAAAAACTCCTTGTCTATTAGTACCAAATAATCTTTCAAGTAAATTATCAACATCATTATCATTTAATTTAATTAATAAAACTGCTAATGATTCAATAAAACAATTTTCACCATCTCTTTGTCTTATTTGTTTAAGTAAATAAAAATAATTAACTATTTGCCATAATTCACTATCATAACGACATTTTTCTGTATAAGTTGTTAATAAACGTTGATAATTTATTGATTTTAATGGATCTTCAGTTATTAATGTTGTTGTTACTATATACAAACGAAAAAGAAAATGAAAGATTTTGCTTTTTTTTTTCTTGATATATCATATAAAACTTACACATAGGACTATCTGATTTTGAAGCTGTAGAAAGTAATCGACATTCATGTAAATATATTCCTATATGAACAGCATGACAACGAAATTGTTCTATTTGATTTAATAAATCAATAGCTGTTTCAAATTGACCAGTTAATAATAAACACATTGCATATTGAACTGGTTTTTCGTTAAATAAACTTCGATTTTCATCTATTGGAAAAAGAAGTTTTTTTTTTTTTTCTAATGAAGAATAATAAAGTAAAATAAATTTCTTCTTACTTCCTTCATTATACACAAGTTTTTGTAATTTATTAAGTGTCATTAAATCTTGATTTGGAAATACAATTTGAGATAAACGAAGCCATAGAATATCATCAATGGAATTTATTATTAATTCATGCATATTATTAACATCATATGCAGAAAGTATTGATAATACTATACTAAAATATAAGAACGTATCATGTATATTAATTGTAGATGTTCTTTCGAAGATATCTATTGGTATAATCATTAATCAAACATATCGGATCAGAATTGTTACTCGTATTTCGGAAACTTTTCGTTTTATATGAATGTCAAACTCAGAGAATACAAGATTTCGACAAAATATAAACATGAAGTCTATTATCTTCTAAATGAACTTCGGACCTTCAAAATTTTTATGTCGTACAATTGCTTAAACATTCAAATCTTATAAATTAAACGTATGATTCAGAAATCGAGTTATACTTTATTATGTTCATCTTATTTAAGTGAACGTTCAGTTTCATGAGGTTGCAGTCCAACATAGAAACAAACCTTAGCGAGAATGACTTATTGTGAATTTTTCAGGACTTGTCGCTGTTGCCATTCTAAGATACAACTTTGGTAACAGCATGTTATGCAAGAAAATATTCTCATTAAGGCTTGTCTCTATGCAATGTTTCAAGTCGAAATTCGATAATCAGTTTTTCTGATGTTCCTCAGGAAGACCACGATATAAGTCTAGCATGTCTGTAACAGTAAACTAGGATGATGAACTCTTTTCAGGATATTTTTAGTTCGTTTGGATGTGATTAGTGTAGATAGTTTCGACTCGAAAGCGATTGAACAATTGGAGAATTCCTCTCCCTGAGAGATTTTCTCAACTTAAGTTCTAGTGATCACGGTTAGACATGTGTAGGGTAAGCTTATTTCTTACTTAGCACGCTTACCCTACTCTGCACATCTCTAGTCATGGTCTCTGTGATTTTAGTTTTTCGGTTCCGGATCTAAAGAAAAGTGTTCCAGACTTTATTCATATCACATCTAGAAAACTTCTTCAATACTCGATTTTTTGATTTATTTAGTCAATGACTAGCATGTTTTGGGATGATCTGTGTTGAATTATATTCTAATTTCTAATACAATTCGCTTATAACCATAGAAAATACTCAACTATAATCTTTAGTATCGGTTGAACGAATTGTTTTTCTCGTAATCCCATATTGATTCTAAGAATAAAATAATAGACATAAGAATTTACCTTTTAAATGGATTTGTCAAATGTTCTCGATCATAAACATCTTGAATCTTCAAACGTATTGTTGGATCAATTGATTGATTATTATTTTTTATATAATTATTTAACCATTCAACAACACTCGTTAAACTTAAAAAATAAACAATATTTCTTTTTATTTTATTATTGAGAGTAACTTACTGGCATCGTTTAGCAGCATTCAATGCTGATTGTAAATCACCTGCACGTAAACAATAGAAAAGTATTGACCAAATTGGTAAATCATCAATATTTCCATCCTAGTATATAAATAAAGATATTTAAAAGATAGCAAAAATTATATAAAACAATCAATTTACATCATCAATAATATGAACAATATTTGGATGTTTTTGTCGAATATAACGTATTATTAATTTATATATTGAACCTGGCTTATGAATATCATCATCTGGCACAAGATTAATAAACATTTTTGATAATTGAATACGAAAACTACCAAAAAACAAAAAAAATAATTAAAAAAAAAACAGTCGAAACATACGAATATTCTAAATAATTTCGAGCAGATAATACAATAGCTTGTTGAGATGGTAATGCTGTTCGATTAGTTAGATAATCTACTGGAAGTTGACTCATATAACGAATAATATTCCATAAATCAATTGCTGCCTAAAAACATATTATTTTATTTTCAGAAAATAAATTCTTTTAATTTTACCTGTGGTTGATTTGATGATTCAACAACAGTTGTAAATTCATCAATTAAGTTTTGTCGTACTATTTTACCAACATTATAAAGTGCAATCTATGTTAAAAGATGATAACAAATTTAATAATGGTAAAAACAAATATTTAACCGACAAATGACAAGGAGAAAAAATTCTTTCACCGATAGTAATAAACAACGAAAATTCGCGTGTTTCTTATCCAAAATCTGATACGAGTGCAAACTTGCTGAGTCAGGTCAGGATTTGAGATTATATCCGGCAATTTATGAACTCTAGACGTTTTAAAATATTTTTTCTTTTGCATACTGATGTATATATAATAGTATAGAAGGAAGCGAAAATCTAAGAACTTTACTGCATTTGATAACAGGTCACAGAAATGGAAAGCGATATTCTTTTGCTACGACTATTCGTTGTGAATAAAATTCATCTACATATGACGAAGTTCTTGGACACATGGAGCAAGAAAATGAATTGTCAAAACGTGAACATGTATTATTGCAATGAAAAAAGTATTTTTGTATGTATCAGTAATTATGATACTGACACTGCGTTCTCTTTCAGCATTATCACCAATGAGAAAATGTCTACTTAGCAAAAGTAATCCGATATCACGTGAATTAGGATTCACTTGCTTTTGTGTGGGATTTGAGATGATCGCCGTTTTTTTTGTTGCTGTTTATAGCAGAAACAAAACAAAGTATTTTATCAAATAAAGTAAAAGTTTGAAATTTGTACTAGCACTGTGAAAGTATATGCCGGATGTCGATTAGCTTCGGTCCGAGTCTGAAAAATTGCATCCATGCAGGATACTAACCTTCAGCTCAGAGGTTCGATAAAAACCGGAACTGTTAAATCATCAGATGAATACAAAAATTCTTAAATATATGTCGAGAAATCTTCATTTTTTCATTCTGGAAATTAGAGATTTCGGTATATATGTATAAGATTGTTTTACTTAAGCGCCGAAATATGTGACGTTGTATCTCACGCCATATTTTGAGAATTGCGAATCCAAATAATTTTTTCAATCGTTAAACTCTAATCAGGTTGTCTCGATTATTTAAATACAACAAGAACTACAATGAAGAGTATCTATCTTTGATTTAAACTTTTAGCTGGAAAAAGATTGTCTACTAAATTGTTTGTTAGCTGCTATCAAGCACATGACTAGTTCTTGAAATCTAAGCATGCAAGTAGAGTCCAGTCTATGCTCTGTTGTTTTAGTCAACAAAAACAGGTTATTTAATCGAAGATTGCTGCCGCCGAGTTCTCTATACTAATACCATGATTATTCAGATGATATTTTCATTTAGTCTAGGAAGGGTTAATGAATTTCGACAACATTAATACAATAGATAGATAGAGCAAAGTACTAAACAATGAAGAATGATTTTACTCAGAAAGTTCTTTCTTTTCAAAGTTATGAAGTTAAAAGGATAACTAGGTGCCATCTATTACCATCCATCATAATTCTCGTTCCATTTAGACAATCGAGCCTAGACCTACATTCTTAGTGCAAGATGAAGATACAAATTTTCAGACTTCCAGCATGCATAGTAGTCGAAATACGGGTGATAGAAGACTATTGTATTTATGGTCAAACAATTGTATGCTAGTTTTAATAGAACACTAGCAGAAGCTTTTTTTGATATGTTGAACCACTAGATTTTGATATAATTTCTTCATGCTAGACTTCGGATACGGTTCAAAGTTGTTATAAATTGTTAAAATTTAACGATGGAATCTGACTATCACTGATTGAATTCAATCTTTTGCACATAAGTTTCAATGGAACCAGTAAAAGTCTGAAAGGATAAGAGCACTTGCATCTCTTTTCCGAAGCTAGGTCTATTTTAATAAATTATCAACCTCTGAGCAAGACATTGACTGAGACATCTAATCATTGAATTTCGATCTGAAATTTTGCTCATATGTACGCTTACTAGTCATCAGAAGATTCATAATGATTCAGCTAACATAAATAGTTCCATCACAAAATACTGAAATTTCGAATACTCCTCATATGTCGTACGAAGATCGAAAAATCCAGTTTTCTGAGGTATGTTTAGATTTTCAAAAAATATTAAATTACCGACATAGTAGAAGAATCTATCAAATAATAAGATATGACATTATGAAATCATTGTACCATTAGAAAGCTACTTCTAGATATATATCATTTACCAAAAAGGAAACTTTTTACTATTTTCAGAATGTAAAAACAAGTCCTATAGCATTAAGTAATATCAATAAATGCAGAAACTGTTATATTTATTTCACAAAGATATCAATGTAGCTTTATATCAAGCCGAAGACTCTACCCTTTAAAATATTAACGAATTTAGTAATTACTGATCACAGCTGTGAAAATACGAGTAGGTACTCGAGAAAATTCGTACTTCTTCAAGTCAGCTACTGAGAAATTTCAGTAAATAAAGTAATCAGTATATTTTAATCCTAAGATAACACTCCTTTTTTAAATATTCGAAACTTCCAAAAATTACCAATGTTTTAAAGGGTACGGTCTTCACCTTAAGATTAAAATATAGTGACATTTATATAGATTTACCATATGGAGTTAATTCAATATCTATTAAATTTTAGTAGTAATTTCGCAAAAATTATTGACATTTGGTCAACGAATGGCGTAACATTTTTTATGACATAGCTTTTGCAGATATTTCTCAGTAGTTGCCTAAGAACTTCAAAATTTGCTTCTACTATCTTCATAACTTAATACAACTTCCGAAAAAATGGAATACTGCCGAATTTCTTTGCTAATATGATTTTTCTGTAGGAGCAGTTTCAGGAAGTATGAGCGTATAAGGATCATCGCCTGTTTCTTTCTATTCATAGTCTACTAAGCACAAAATTTCATGAGGAAACCATAAAGTAATTTCTGAATGGCCTAGACATGGAAGGGCGATTCGTATAAATTTTCGCCTACTAAGACATTTCCAACTGAAAACGATACTAATGGGTTATCCATTGTCTAGTCTTCTCTCTGGTAAAAACTTCAGCTCGAGCAATTGAAGTGTGGTTGAGTAACAACGTAAATGTCGTTGGAAATAAGCATGAAAAATCATACAGTAATAATACTATTCCTGTTTCCAGAAAGGAAAAAAAATAATTTGGGCTTCTAATTAATTCTGAAAGTTCGTAGGAAGAACTACAAAAATAAGGCGATTTGAATTTCGTTTAGACAAGTCTTTAATAGATTTTTGATTGTGAAAAGTAGGCTTTGAATCAAAATAAATAACATATTTGGAACTAACATAAAAATGAGTCGATTTATATGTTTCAAAAGTTCTCGACAAACTCTCTTCTTCTCTCAAAAAAATTTAGCTGGGATATTCTGAAAAAATGAATTTAATTAAAAAATCATTCTATCAATGGAAAACAAATTCTTAGTCTGTGAGATATCATTTTGATACAAAACAGCACATAACTAACCAATAAAAATTGTATTTTCATTAAATTCATTTTTTTGATTGAAGCCCAGCTCAACTTTTTCAAGAAAAAAAAACATTTTGTTGAAAAACATTGTAAAAAATCAAAAAAGGGTATGATTTTGTAGTTCTTCCTACGAGCTTTCAGAATTAAGCCAAAACTCCATGTTGTTTTTTTTTCTCTTGCTTGAAACATTAAGAGAACAGAAATCAGAAATGGTATTATTACTATATGATTTTCGTGCTCGTTTCGATCATGGATAATCGATTAGCATAGTTTTCAGTTGGAAATGTTCTATTATAAGAAAATCTATACGAGCCACTCTTTCATGCCTGAATTGTTCAGAAATCGCCTTGTTTTTTCCTAATAAAATTCTGTATTAAATAAATTATGACGACAGGGAAACTCAAGGTAGTCCTAATACGCTTCTGCCCTTTGCTTTTTTTTGGAAATTTGAACATTTCACATCGCTTCGAGCTTTTACTAATGCCGTTTTCAAAAAGAAGGTAGGTAGGAATTTCTTAAATAGAAACAAGATAGAGAGCTCTGGTTTTCACCTTTTGAAAGAAGAGATGAAGATGCATCGAATGATATATTAAATTATACGTTTTTTCGATTCTTTTTTGAAAACCAACGTATCTTGTGAAGTGACTATAATCAATTTTCAATAATCAGATGTGCATTCGAATCGCCAATGGAAGATCTACAAAACTACGCAAGCGTCACATTTTTAGATTTAAGTATTCTAGTCAAAATTCTCGATGAATTTTTCAAAAATTGCTATGGAAAAAAATTACATTTTTGCTTTTTCTTATGTTAAAAGAAATCATTTTTCCAATACATCGTTTTATAAAATTCGATACGACTTCATCTTCTCTTTCCAACTGGTGAAAACCTAAGTGCTCTATCTTGTTCCTACGGAATGTCATTCTAAAAAAACCGATCGGTCTTTCTTTTTTTTTGAAACGGCCATTAATCAATTCAAATATTCTTACTTACCACTTTTGCATATGCAGCTTCAACATTTGATAAACCTCTTGATAATGTTCTTGGTGTTTCAAAACGTTTTATCTAGTAATTGAAAAGATAATTTTTTTTGTTTATTTCTTAATTTCTGAATTCTTACCTGCATTGCATTTGCTTCATCAAGATAATTTTGATCATGTTTTGATACAGTTGATAAAATCAGTTGTCGTTGTTTTTGCCAATTATTATCTAAGACATAATTACTATGACGAGTAATTTCATCATATTTCTAAAAATAATAAAAGTATTGAGAATTTATTTTTTTTATTAATAAATTTTTTTTCCTACTTTATCTTCAATCATTCTTAACATAGATAAAAGTGTTTTTTCTCGTTCATGTTTAAGATAATCATTAAGATTATTTGTTATTTTTCCATCGAATTGTTGCTCAATTGTATCATCTTTAGGTTTAACTATTGGTGTTTGTAATGTTTTATCAATTTTTTCAAATTGATCTTGTATACGTTGAACATTAATACCAGTTGATGAATTTAAAAAAGCTAATGTACTTAATTGATCAATATTATTTAATAATTCACGTTTTGTTTTCAATGATGAACGTTGTCCTTCATCAATAAGTTGTGTTAAATTTCGATGTACTGAAAGATTATTTGCCGTCGTTGTTGTTGGTGTTGATGTTTGAGCTGAAATTTGTGATGCATTTGTTAGTGTACTTTGATTTAATGGTGTTTGATAAGTTGTATTAGATAAATTTGATGTTGATGGTGAACTTCCAAGTCCTAAAAGCCAACTAAATGGACCTGACATCTTCTAATGAAGTTAATCTTCAATAAGTTTCGTTTTCTTTTTCTTTTTTTTCTTACTACTATAAGAAATAGTTAAGAAATGACAAAGAATGAGAAATATCCAATCATGTTTGACATCATTTCCTCTCTAATAATTTTAAAGTCCATTGTATATTTCATGGAAGCACTAAGTATGAAATACGTAAGAGAAAAGAAGAAAAACGTGATTTGTTGTGCAACAAGTTATTTGACGTTTGTACAAATACAAATGTCGTATGAGGATTAACACATGCGACATTTTTTGAGTAGAAATATTTTATTACAGAATTAGAAGAAGAAATGTATGCTTCAAATGAAGATGAAGATTGGATTTACTTACATGAAACACCACCAATAAATTTAGTAGGATATTTTTTAAATATTTTTATGAAGAATATTTTTTATCTATAATTTTAAAAGATTCTTCGAAAAACTGTCAATTTTATTGATAAGGGATGTTCGAGTTCATCATTATCACCAAGTCGAAGCAGCAGCAGCAGCAGCAGCAGTAGCAGTTCGTCGAAATTAGAACGAAGTATTTCATTATCGTCTATTTCTTCCACCGAGTGAGTGAAATATGATTGTCAACGATTGTAAAAATTTGTGGAAAAGAATTAAAAAATAAGCTTATGAAAGAATGAGGAAGGTCAACAGCATTTCATCTCTCCCTGATAGTTGTTTTAAAAGCTATTTTTTTTGTGGACTAATAGTGTAAGCAGCAGATCATGAGTCGTCGGGTAGTACCCTATGACTTTCAAAGAAATCTATGAAATAGACTGCTAATGATGGTAATTAACAGATGATGAAGAAGTTTTTTCCAACGAGTCAAAGCTATGATTTTCAATATAGGTTTAGGAATTTTGTTCAAGAATAGTGAAATAATCTTTATAAAGTTCAAAAAATTAATTTAGGCGGACAATTTTTGTATTTACACTATTGCGATTCGAAACTAAATGTTGGAATCTTTAATTATACATTAGTTTGTAGATCAGAATCTAGTCAACAAAATGCATTATTTTTGTCTTTGGATAAACCACCTTAGTTTTCGTTCTTCCTGAACACTCATTTTCGAAAGATCAACAGTCGTATAGCGTTGACAGGAGCTCTTCAAAAAGTACTTAGGTACAAGCTACAGCATAGTTCAATATTACATTTTGTAGAAAAGTATTCGCTCTACAGAACGACGGACTCCAACGATTTTTAGCATGTTCGAAAAAGCACTTATTGAGTTAACAAAAACCTGTTGGCTCATCATTAAAAACAGTTTTTCAAGAATTTCTTCACTACGCACAAATGTCTTGTATAAAACTTCCCGATCGCTCGTTATTACGTTATTGTTTTCTTTTGATATTGTGAATATAACGGAAAGTTATTTTCTTCAAGTGAAAATCGAATAAATTTGCTTTACACATTTGTTCGTACTACTGCCCATCGGAGAACAACTATCGGTATCTCATGATAGAATAACGGTCAGAAGATAGCTGACTGTTGAAGAGTACATCGATTTTGTGACCCTAAACTCTTGATTTTGTGTAGCCATTGCATAATCTAAAATAGTATATGTTTACTGAGTTTCGAAAAATTGTCTTTGAACGTTAAGTATAATCAAATTTACGTAATGAAAATAACAAATCATGTTTTTCGTGAAAAAAAGTGCAGCAACTCTCCCATTTCACCAACCTATTATTTTCGATCGTGCTGCTGATTTTTGGTAGTTCTTATAAAAAAATCTCTGTTCAAGAAAACATGCGTTTTTTAGAGTACTTTCAATATTTTGACTTTTTTATTCGAAAGACAAAAAATAAAAAGATACCTATTCCAAACAGTGTCTAGTATCTATCAAAAAACATCTTCAGTGCAATGGAACATAGCATCTTAGCGAAGTGGATGAGGGGAGGACATTGTGATCCAAGCATCTCATACAAAACAGCATCGGAGAACTTTGAATCTTGGTTAACTGTTGCTCTTCTCATCAAGATCTATGAAATTTTTCTGATGAGCCGTTCTCCAAAAACTCTTGGAAGAGAGAAGATGATACCCTTAAGTATTACACTGTCGTCGACATAACGCACATAGGATGATAACCAGATGTCTTATTTATTAACAACTATATAATTGTTTTCATTCGAAAATTTTATTTTTCACTGATTAATCTATATTAAAATGCATAACAGTAAGAATCGAAATCTTTTATTTAGACTTGAATGTGCACAAAATGATGATATAATAACAAATAATGATATATTTCACTCATCTATAAATAATTATCATGATTCAAAACAAAAAATGTATTCATTAGAAGCAACAAATAATGAAGATCTATTATTAAATTATCATTATAATAATACATCAATTACGAATACCAACAATCATTTATTATTAACAGGGGAAGAAAAAGAAATTTTACCATATGAAATGATTATTTCGAATGAGAATGAAAATTTGACAATGGAAATAAATACTAATATACCTGAAGTAATGAATGAAAATACTATACTCAATACTGGATTCGAGTTAAAGTAATTATATAAAAAAATAAATCAATACAAAATAATATTTCTTTTGTAGTCAAACAGTATCATTAACGAATAGTAGTGCATTTAGTACTGAATCACTTTCATTACCAAATAATCTTCGGTATGTTGTATTTTTGTATCAGATCATTAAAATTAAAAAACGTACAATTTATATTTCCTTCTAAAAGTTCTCGTATTGGCTTAAATGTCCAACAAACAGATAAGTCTGAAATAATTCAATCAATTCGAACTTCTCAAGAGATTAATCAACAAAAATGTTTCCAACAATATAAAAATAATAATAATATATCGATTTCTTATATATGCATAATTATATTCTTGGCTTTACCATTTATTCTTGGACATATTGTTACACGATGGGGTAAGACAATGTTTTTTTTTTCTATTTAAATTATTAATTAATTCTTTTTTTTTCCTAAATAGATCAATCGAATATAAGTAAAATCGTGGAAGAACTTGCTAAAACAAATCAACGTTTTAATGACGTAAAAGATATCCGTATAGGATATGTTGAAGAGAAATTCACAAAACAGGTATAGTTATTGAAAATTTTTTTTTTAATGTTATTTCAATTTTTATTTTTCAGTTAGAAGAAAAACTTCAAACGATGATTCATCAACAATCAGCATGGCATGATCATGAAAAATATGCTTTTAGTTTACAAATACATGAACTTCAAGAAATATTAAAGATGACACGACAACATTTGACAAATACAATTCATCAAGTAAAAGAATTATTCCATTGATGAATATTTGTTTTCATATTATTTATTTCAATAGCTAACTCAAGAGAATGAACAATTACAAGAAAAAATCAAATTATTAGAACATCGTTTAGAAGTAACTCAAGAACAGTATTCAAAAAATACGAAAATATGCATAGAAGGCGTTAATGTAAGTCGTATAAAAAATTCTTCACTTTTTTCATACATCAAGTGTAACGTTTTTTCATTCAGTGTACAAAATCAACGTTCAATCAATTACTTACTATTATATTCAAGCAAACAGCTTCTATTGCTGCTGATATTTCAGTCACTTTATCGAGTTTTTTTGAATACTTAAGTGCATCAGTTAGTAATATCGTTGATCATCGTCATAAATATGTTGAAAAAAGTAAACGAAAGTTAACTAATTTTGCTAGTTTATCAACTGTTAAAAAAATTCAAATATCATTACGTCGTAGTATTGATAATCTTTTTTCATCATTTCGCAAAGCTAAATTAAATTATGTTACATGGTTTAAATCACGTATACAACGTCGAAAACAAAATCAAATACAGAATAATGAAAAAGAAAAACAATACCGACAAATACATAAAAAACATCCATGGCGTTGGACATTTCAACAAGATTTTAATCGAAAACGCACACATGATCAAAGATCAAGTAGAGAAAAAACTTGTTATTCAAAAGATAATTTTCCAATGAATAAAATATGTTCAATAAAAAATTGGATGGTTAAATTTCTCCGACCATAATCTCCAGGATTTTTCTCATTTACACGTGTTATTCTTAATTTTGTATTATATAAAAAAGAAAACGTGATAAATTCCTTTTTTGTTACTATTTTTCTCATTGACTTTTATGTATATATGTTATTCGACATTTTCCTTTTTTTCTTTTTTTAAATATTTGTATATTTGAGAATTTTGTATGATTATTCTAGTAAAATGACATTTCTTTTAATAGTATAAAATGATATTATGACTTCTAGATGCGAATGATGATCGACATGATAAATTGGTCTATAACGATTAATCAAATTTAATCGAAGTCTAATAATAAGACCATTGAATTTTTATCATTTACGATTGTATACGAGCAGTATTTTTATTATATTCGATGACTTACGGTTGCATGTCAGGTGTCATGTACACGATGGCCCATAAGTAGTACTACGATAGAAAATAAAGCATCTCTACGTCGGTTCAATCAAATGGGCTAACTTTTTGGTTAGTGGTAGAAGTTTATTTAAGGTTTTTCTTTTTGCATACGGATAAGGTCAGCAAATATTACTATCAAGTATTCTTCTTGGTACTATGAAAGCAATTTTACTGTTATCAAGTAAGAAAAATGCATGTGTAGTACTTTACAGATAATTTTCACTGTGTCATTTAAGAGAACAAGAAGAAATCAAAACTAACTTTATGAATAATGCTGTTTCGATGTTGATAAAGCAAATTTCCAGAAATACTATTCATGTTAAAATATAATGTGCTCCATTTTCGTTTCAATAAGTTTTGATAGGAACATCATAGACATCTGCAGTTTTCACCATTAGAAAGAAAGAGAAGATCCAGGACCATCGAAATTTTATTAGTTAGTAATCGACCAATCGCGTGAGCTCGTGTTAAAGATTTTGGAAAACGATATGCTGAAACTATTTACCTTTCGATATAAAATTTTGAAAAGGACAAATCGATAGCAAAAACATCTTCTCTCTCAATATACATAAGATCGACGTACCTAACTTGTTCCGTCCGAGAGTTATAAGACTTTTCTTCAGATCCATTCATTTCAGTGAATTAACCTGTGATCACTTGGAAAAACAGCTAGACAAAAACCATTCACCATTATGAGTGAAATAGTAATATTTTGTTTTTAGACTCAAAATGATTTGGCTCACAATCAACCTCCATGAAACAAAGTAATCGACATTTCAGAAATATTGAGATAATCAAGTTAGATCAGTTTGATCCTAAAAAGAAATATTACCATTCGACCCATTATGGTGAATTATTCCTGTATGGTCCACTCTGTATATGATAATCGTTTTGTTCAATCTAGACAACTAATTATAAGATGTTGGTGTTTGATTGTTTGAATATTAACTGAGACTTTCTTATTACAGGACAACGGGTCAAAAATATAAAACTAACATATGTTTGGTTCTTATTTTGTAGAATACTAAATATTAAAATTCAAAACCAAATAATGGTGTCAATAGATGATGAAGCTTTTTATCAAATGCATTTCATACTGAAATCTTATCCATAGACTATGAGTGGGAGGTTTGTGAAACATCTAATACAGCAATTCACAGATCTCAAAAGACTATTTAAAGTTTAGCTTTTAACATTACCAACATTAAGAGCATAAAATCTTGAATAAAATGAGTGCTTGGTGCATTTCCCATAACCTTCCTTGAACAAGTTATCAGCATCACAAAAAATGAAAAAAAAACGAAATTAATCATAGCAATGCTTATAAATTGTTAAAGAAAGGTCGTACGATATACTGCAAGTTCTTGTTTTTTTCAGATTTTCATGTTCTTCAAGAGGGCACACATGAGAATATCGTGGATCGCCAGAGTGTACGAGATACTGGACAAAATTACAGCTTTTGTTTTCTTATGTGCGTTCGAAAGGTCATCATCTGCAACAACCAAAACAATATTTTTAACTCATTTGAATGTACTATGGTAAAGTTAGCCAATACTCACTTTTGAGTACTATCAAGGAAGTAGTCAAAAATCGTGCTATAAATGTTTATTAGGATTATTCTTCAATGAATCAGAGAAATTTTCATCTAATACACTAAAAGATAGAGCATCGATAGCTGAAAAAAAAGAACTATTTTAAGTCTTACATATCATATATTTTACTAGGATCTCATAGTTCAATATGAATGAGAAAGGTTACGATTGACGAGTTCGTAGTAGTGAATGTTCGATAGTATATCTGTTACTATTTTTTTTTTGATGAAAAGACACTAAGCTGAAATTTGTATATATGATATAACTTTTTATGCTCTATAAAACGATTAAACAGAAAGTTTATCTTCAGGATGAAACAAGCTTCATGTCACTCTTTCCTGAATAATGATTTTTGATGATTTTGTAAAAAAAAAAAATTTTTTAGCGATTTTCATTGCTATGACATGATTTAAAGCAAAATAAGTGTGATATTCGGAATCAGTGTCAAAAACTATGTTGAGTCAAATACATTTTAGAGAAAACTTTTCAGAGAAAAAATAATCCATTGATAACTATGGGGCAAAATTTTAATCAAAATACAGCCGTGGAGAACCACAGAGATTATTTTTTCACAAGAAAAAGCTTCTGTAAAACGTCTCTGGCCCAACATAGTTTGTGATGCTGATTTCCAATGTCATATGTATTTTGTGTCACAATTGTGTTACGGCAATGTAAATCGCTAAAATTGTTTGTTTTCTTTTGAAAAATCATTTTGTTGGAAAGAGATGTGTAGTCCATTTCATTCTGAAAGTAAACATTTTCTTTTAATCGTTTTGTTGAGAATAAAAGGTTATATCATATATACAAATTTCAGCTGAATGTCTTTTGATTTAAAAAAAGCAACACATACTGTTAAACATCGACTATTACGAACTCGTCAATTGTGATCTTTCTCACTCATATTGGACCACAAAATTCCAGTAAATATATTATATGTAAAACTTTAAATAGCTCTTTTTTCAGCTGTTGATGCTGTATTTTCCAGTATATTGTACGAAAAATTCTCTGATTTGTTGAAGCATAATCCAAATCAGCACTTATTACACTTTCTTTGAATACTTTCTTGATAGAGAACTTCGTTGGCTACTCAAACTAGTATTTGTCTTTGACTTAAATACTTAATATTGCCGAAAAAAGAAACCAAAAATACTTCGATTTTATATTTTTCACCAGTACTGTATATCATAGATGAAAAATAGTTCATCTTTTCGAATTCGAGTGAATGTGTAACGATTGAAAGGATCTGTAGAAAAATGTTTTATAAATTATGTTGACTCATAGATAATGATTTGATTTGAGAATTATTGAATAAAATCATAAACTAAAAATCATTCTATTGTATAGTTTTATTTGTAATAAAAATCAGTTTCAGATCAACTAAAAAATCAAAATAAATAATTGAAAATGAACGACGAAGCATTTAAATATGCTGAACGTCTTGTACCTCGTTCATATATTGATTTAGCTCGGCAAGCACGTCGATCATATGAACAACAAATTCGACAAATAATTGAACATAGAAAATTACCTGAACAACCATTAGACGAGAATATTATTGAACAATGGTTACATGAAATAGCACAAATGGATTCAAATAATTTTGAAGGCAATATTGGCGTAGGAGAACGTGAAGGTAATCTAGTTAAACATTGATTTCAATGAATAATTATAATTCTATTCAGGTCGTATCTATTCATCCCTTGTTGCACGACGTCATTCTTCATTTTCACATGGTATAGGACGTTCTGGTGATATCAATGCAGTTCAACCAAAAGCAGCCGGTTCATCATTACTTAATAAACTTACAAATGAACTTGTACTTGATGCAATTCATATTCTTGGTTTAAGAACAATTACACATGCACTTATTATTCCAATGGCAACCGGTAGGATTTTGGTGAGTGTTAATATTCTAATCAACACAAACGTATTTTTATTTCTATAGGTATGACAATGACATTATGTTTATTAACATTAAAAAAACAACGACCAAATTCACGTTATGTTCTTTGGTCACGTATTGATCAAAAAAGTTGTTTTAAATCAATTTTAGCAGCTAATTTAGAACCAATTATAATTGAACAAATTGAAACTAATAATTATCTTCAAACAAATATCAATGAATTTGAAAAACAAATTCAACAATTAAATCCAAATGATATATGTTGTATTATATCAACAACAAGTTGTTTTGCACCACGTGCTATTGATAATATTCAATATATAAGTAATTTATGTCAAACATTTTCAATACCACATTTAATTAATAATGCATATGGTTTACAATCAACAAAAATTATTCATGAAATTGAACAAACTAAACGTTCAAATGGTCGTATTGATTATATTGTTCAAAGTACAGATAAAAATTTTCTTGTACCTGTTGGTGGTTCGATTGTTCTTACATATGATACACAATTATTTGATAAACTTTCACATATTTATCCGGGTCGTGCATCAATCAATCCAACAATTGATATATTTATTACACTTTTATCAATGGGTAAAAAAGGTTTAATGGATTTAATACAAAAACGTAAAAATTTATTTAATATTTTCTATGAAAAACTTCTTCAATGGGCAAAAGATAATGATGAATGTATACTTTCATCAAAACAATTTAGTCCTATATCAATAGCTATATCACTTAAACATTTACCAAATGAACGTTTAACTGAACTTGGTTCAATGTTATTTACACGACGAATATCAGGTGCACGAGTTGTTAAATTAGGAACAAAACAAACTATTGATTCATATGAATTTATCAATTATGGTGCACATTCATCAAATATTCAATATTCTTATTTAACTGTTGCAGCTGCTATCGGTATTGAAGAGAATGATATTGAAATATTTATGAAAAAATTTGATAGCATTTATCAAAAATTACGACGCCATGAAAACATTGATGATTAATAGAGAGTTTCTTTCTTTCTTATTTTACTGTTAGTCTTTAATAAATCAAGAGTTCGATCATAAAGATTAAAATAATTTTGTTATTGTCATAGAATATGTAAAAGATTTATGATATGAAATAAACAAGGGAATATGAAGTAAATCGTAAAAAAAAAAGAATCTTTTTGACTTTGCTGATTTATGGGTCCAACTTAAAAAGACTTTACATAAAGCAATCATGAGAGTATTATATACAAGTGGAGCAAAAAAAAATTCGTACGATTTTAATAATGACGATAGACATGTTTGTGCTAGTTTTGTTTGCAATACAATTCTACTGTATAAGAAGATTCAGTTAATCAAAAATTGTGGATCTTTATTTTGAGACATTTTTGTAAGAGAATTGCAAATTCAAATTCTTTTTTTTTTCAAAATATTACTGCCATGCATATGGATAATGAGAGTAATAAATATTTTCTGTTTCTATTCGGCAACTGTAGTTAAGGTGTTTAAGAGTCTACTTCAATGGCAATACTTGATTTTGAAGTAATAAACAAAACTGTTCACTTTTTCAAAACTGTCAGATGATATTTTATGATGAAAAGTGATACAATACTGTATTAACCGAATCTTTTCTTTGATGCACTTTTGTAATTTACTTTCTACTGAGTTAATTAGTTTCTTCATAACATTACGTCCAATTCTAAAAATCCTTTTGAAAGTTTGAAGAACGAAAAATGCTACCGTTATCGAAATCGTACGAATAATTTTTGCATCGAAAACATGCAGCATTTTCACAGACTGATCTCGTATTTAACATAGATTCAGTCTACAACGTTGACTTTTATAGTGTCAATACAAGATGACATAATGGTTCTTTTAATATCCACCAAATCTTAAAAAGTCTATATGTTGACTCTGTTCGATCAAAACATATAGATCATACGGTAGAATCCGTCGAATTAGTCCTGGACATGACCAAGTCCGAAAATTTTGAACCTAACTGTCTCTATTGCACGGATAATTTTGGCCGCACCTGTAAGTAATATCAAATATGGTTATTTTGATTATATCTTGTTCTCTTTCATGGTTATGAATATGTATGATTTTCAACAAGTCATCCATTGTTCAAGTTATCCTTTATTATATGTTAAAATACTTTTCAAAAGCATTCGCATAAAGTCAATAGATGGTTAAAATAGTTTTATTCTGATTGGATCTTGATTGAATCTTTTCCATGCAGCACAACATTGACTATTGATCTTTCGATGTATTCCCAAATGTGGATTAATAAAGACATAATCCTGAAAACAAAAACTATCCAGAAAGTCTTATTTAAATACATTCAACTATGCCACGTAGCTTCATATACATGGCGTAAATTGTCTAGAATACCATTGCTAATAATGCATATTATTTTAATAAATAATTCAATTATAGAAAAAAAGTACTTCACGAAGATCCGTGCCCTTCTATTATTCTGTTGGGAGAGACAAAGATTAATCTTCTTCTCCGAGTTTGTTACATAGTGCTTGAATAATCCATAATAAATGTGTATTCTAAAGCATATTTAACGATCCATTTCGCATGTTTGTTTGCACTATTGTCGGTATACCGTGATGCTCATAAGAACCAGTGATAGCGCTTACGACTTTCGGTTTCACTCATAAACGAATACAGAGAGTATTTTCTACCCAAATTCGAATTAACAGAGAAGAATACAGTTGCATAAAATATTTTCCTAATAAAAATTTTCTCTCATAATTGGGGCCGATTTTCCGTGGGACCGAAGTGAGGTGGATGAGGTTAATTAACATGTCGCATATATTCAATATCATGCAGTCCTGCTGCTGCTGTTGAAAGAGAATTTTCGGCAACATGTGAAATTGTCAACTACAGAAGATCTGATTCAGGACTAAGAATTGTTAATAATGTTTTATTTCTTCGTTCGATAAAGAATAAAAAAGTAAAAGATTGATTGATCCGAGTTATATCTTTTTTATTCTCTTGTGTTAACTTTTAGAAATATGTGATCAAATTAATCATATGATCAAAAAATACAAACATTTTAAAACGATTTGACGAGAAAGCGAGGAAAAAAATAAAGGTAGGGGCGACGCAGAGCGGAGAACAAAATGTCGTTTCAACCTCTGATATACGTCACTCAGACGAATCAACGTTATCAGAGTGCACTGAAGATGATTCAAACTTATCATTTTAAACAGACTTCAAAAATATTCACCCGTATTAATACAATACCTTCAAAAATGTCAGCAGCAATTTCTCGGTAGTTATTACATGACAATATACATTCTTTTTTTATTGTTATCAAAATCTACCCAACCAATGGTAGAAACATGATTAAAAATTGAACGTGATCAATACAAATTAATTTGAAAATTAAATTTCTTTTCGAATATGAAAGATTTACTATCTCAAACAATTTGGCATGTTTTTTTCGCTACAACAACATCAAAAGGTTATTGAAAATACTCGAAAAATAAAAAGATACATTATAAAATGTAATCCTAAATCGATACAAAGCATTGTCTTTCGGTGTAAAATAAGCCTGTTATATGATTAAATATAGGAATTCGAGAAGTTTCAAGAATAAATGACATGTCAATTGCTTATATTTACTAGGCTGGTTTTAGTTTTTATCTTATCGTGAACAAATAACTTAATACATATGATGAAAATGTTTAAAATTTATTGATAAATATGAATTTTTATTTCAATAATAGCTCAAGATATAAATGAACACCTTGCAAAAGTTATTCATGATAGTCATCATCTATGGTGATGCTTGAATCTTGCTACGAATCCATGGCATAAGATAACGAACATCAGCATAAAGATCCGGATGTGGTTTTGTGAATGAACAATCGATTGTGCCAGACATAATGCCTACTTGTTCAACATATCTTGTTCCATCAGAAAGACGTTTTTCTCGTACAAGCGGACCACCACTATCACCGAAGCCTATTACATCAAAATAAATATTGTAAACAATCAATCATTAAATACTTACAAACTGATTTCCATTCACCATAAGCACACATTTTAGATTTGTCTTGAATGATGGAAAGAATGTGGGTTAATTTTTTACAATCTGTACTTTTAGCATCAACACATTGAAGAGCAACTTGTTGCAGTTCAGTTGGTCGACTAGCACTTGTTCGATTTGGATTACCTGTTGTTGAACCCCAACCACTAGCTATAAAAAAAAACAATATCATTTAGAAATTGGCTTTTAAAAGTAATTACAAAAAGATAAAAATTCTTACCAACAACAGGATGACCAACTCCACATGCTTCAGATTTGTCATCAGGTAGACAGGCAAGACCAATCCTATGATTATCAACTTGAACTGGTATTGATAAACGAATGACAGCAACATCATTTGATAGACTATTAGCATTATAACTTTCATGAGAAAAATATTTTTGTGCTGGAATACCATTTTGTACATTCAGAACATGTGAAGTATCAAATTCATGAAGACCGGGAAAGACACGAAGATCTTTTGCATCATAACCAGCAACACAATGAGCTGCTGTAAGTACATGTGTTGGCTTAATAAGACTGGCACCACAATAAGATTTTGCTGTTCCTTCTGGAGTGAAGCCAACTAATAAAAGTTGATAAGGTCGAGAATGTCGAATAGCTGTTTCACCATTAACAATACGTGCTGTAGATGTTGGGGCAATTACTGAAATACCACAGACACCTGGTTCAGGCAAGATTTGGGTGTATCCATGTTCAGCCAAAATGGTTATAGCAACCACAATAAGAAAAGCTCGCATGGTTATTGAAAAATAAATTGAATTGTAGATGGCAATAACAGTAGGCTAGCTGTTTTATACACTTGCTTTTATGTTGTTTTTCGACTTTAGTATTTGTTTCGTTAGATGTAAGCTGTTTTTATACTGCAAATATTTCGAAAATATCGATAAAAGATGATAAATGATATCTTATTGTTTTTATGAATTAATGACTATTCGAGATAATCATAAGTGTAGTCAACATGGGTAGTATAAAATAATACTCGTATAAACCAATAAATAAGACAAAATTAAATAACCATTAAACAAAACATCATTCGTTTTATTGCTGTTTTTGTGAGAAAGATTATAAATTTCACTAAAAAAGTTTCGAATATGCAATGAAGAAAGATCTCGAATACGCCAATATGTCACATTATTCCCTAATAATCGAATAAAGACTTATCATTTTAATGAGAATTTCGCAAAAATGTCCCACAGATATTCACTGTAAACTAATACGGTCCTTATCTTCCACATAAAAACCCTTGTGCCTCTCAAAATAAGTGGATAACTTTGTTTTTGTAGTTTTATTACAGTCATATACACGAAAAGCGCATGACTTGTTTTACTCATTGTAATAATAAAAATCTATTTTCAAAAGATAACTAGATTATGTATGCAAGAGAGAAGCAAGGATACGAAGACACAATAACCTTCTTCTCGCTTCTTTATAACTACTCAAATGTATGTCCTCAGTAAAACTCAGAAATAGATCTAATGTTGCAAAATAATAATACCTTTGGATCAGATGTGGTATGCCATATGAATAGAAACAATATGAACGTTTTTCAAAGCAATAGTTCAGTGAAATGGACAGTGACGAACAAAACTTTGGATAATCAAGCAACAAGAAAAAGAAGGGAAAGAGTCTCTTCAATATATTTCTAATTATTTCTGTTTCAAGAATCTTTCTTTTTACTACAATATTAATGTTATAATCTTCATGACCAGGTTTTTCTTTACATATTTATTTATAACTTTAATAATTACTTATTGAGACATATTATTTCAGATAATAAACAATATACAAATTTTTATCTTTATTGTTTCAAGTTTAGTTATATATTAAAATTCGTTTCTTGTACTTGTTGAAGTTAATATTATCGTCACTTGTGATCCTCTAATGTTTTAAAAAGCTATAGAATTCAGTGCGAAAGAATTTTAGTTAACCAAATCGTTGATGTACTCTTGTTTTAGAAAAGATCACGTCTAGTTGAATAAATTAGATCAGATGTGTCAATAGTCTCAGCAATATCGAGTATTTGAGCTGTGAATTCTGTGATCGTTGTATGTACAGCCTGATACATTTTTGTAAATGCCAAATGTATAGCTGGTTCGAAAATAAAAACATTTTGTTCATAATTTAACCTGCATATTTCATCTATTGAGATCATGTTGTTTGTTGTTTTTACTGTCCAATATTCTGCCGATTTTAATACATATACATTATTTCTTAATGAGAACAAATTTAAAAACACTCAGTAAAACTTATTACTCAGTATTACGCACAAATTATCAGTAAATAAATGAAACTATCAGTATAAAATTTATTGCTCGCCCATATGTTTGACTGCGATAAAATTGCGACGCAGTTACGCGCAACTGCGACGCAGAATTGGCTCTACGCGTAACTGCGACGCAGTCGTTAAAAAAGTGGTGACATGGGAGGTAACTCTTGTGTTTACTCAGCAAATTAATTTGTAGCTGTTGGTGTACGACTCAGTGCGGATAGTGTACGTGGGATATTCGTGTACGGATGTGGATGAAGGTTTGAGTGTGGATGTTAGGGTTCCCAATAGTTTTTCGACAATAGTTCGAGATTTTCGCAGACAAGACTCAAAACAAATGAAGGAGGGCTAGTCCACTCTAGACCTTACGACGTTGAGACTTATGGTGGGTGTCTGTGAGTAGCTGTAGTTGTGGGGATCAGATTGAGTGTGAGGTGTGGATACTACTGCTCGGAAGAACGACGCCGACACCTTTAGAAGTAGAGGTGTGAGCCGTACGACTGAGTCGTCGCCACCGATTTTTTCTGGAAACAGAGCCACCATTACCACCAAAGCATAGATAATTTTAAGAATTCTTCAGCCGCCGCCGCTGTAAAAAAAACTGAAACGACTATAGCTTTTACCGCTGGAAATTTTGAAAAGTTGAAAATTTTTGTCCGCTATCGAAGCTTATTAGATTGTCTAGGATACGCCATCGGATTCAGCAGGATTCAACTTTAGGATTCTTCGTCCTGGACTTCTAAAATTGTACTCTAGTTAGAATGACTAATGTCCGCAATCTTGCATCACATTATGAAATGCGTATTGTATTTTCTTAATACGAAATTCTTTCAAACATCAGGAAACAGAATTATGAAATAACCATTGAATAAAGAGAATATTACTTTTTTATTTTTGAAAGATACTAACTTGACTGCTGTTAAGAACCTATATGATACACTACTTAAGATTCCCACTCCTAGAAGAGAGTTACTTTTCATCAGAATGGTCAAAATTAAGCTAAATACAGGAAAAGATAGCTCATGATCTGACCTCTCATGAATAACAAAGATTTTAACTCAGCATCTCGTTTTTTTCCAAAATTTTTAAAGATTTCCGTCATCCTGCATTCGAAAAACAAGCTGTTTTCGAAAAAACGAAAATCTTTTTCGATTTTTCTCACTTCATGACTTGTCGAACGCGCAACCCAAATTTCTCTGTCCAGGTTGATGTTATATATATAATTTTTTTTGTTGGAAATAGCGCGTCAGGATGCAGGCTACCACAGAGCCATTTTTTCAAAATAAACTTTTCTATTATCATATGAGAAAACAACTCCATAGAAATAGCACCATTCTTTAGAGCCTTTTTAAGGGCCCCCCCCCCTCAAAAATTGATCTCAGCCCAGGAACATCCAAACAGGCTGATATTTGGAGGATATGTTGGGCCTGGGATAGGACGCACGTGATAAAAGTTTCAGCCTTCTATCCTGATGTATAAGGTAGATACGAACCAAACAAGGGTCGAAAAATAGCTAATCGCATCTCCAAAAAATCTCTATGGGTATTCATGCAATATGGTTGATCGTTTTCTCAAATGAAAGAGCATGTCAGAATGCAGTGCCTATGAGGGCCCTTTTTTTTAAATTGATATCTTTATAAAGAGAAAAAGGTTTCACAAATTACACTACTCAAAATTCTCTGAAAAAAATCATGCTTATATTATAGAGTCGCTTTTCAATATAACAATAAGAAAGCTTTATTAAAAAAAGGGCCCTCATAGGCACTGCATTGTGACATGCTCTTTCAAACAAAAAAAAAATATTTGACTTTATATCGCATTAAAGTTGATTTTTGCTGGAGATGCGTCATTCCACCACCATTTTGAGAAAAACGCTAAAGAAGTTTTAGAAATGGATTTTTTCATTCAAATGCAGGAAATAATGGTATATTGATAATATTTATGTGAAAATTTTGAAAGCACCCAATAGATGGC